ATATTAGGGGTGTAACGATACATGTATTCGTATTGAACCATTCGGTACGAGGCTTTCGGTTCGGTACTCATTACAAACTGAACGATTTGTTGGAGTAATTCTGTTACATTTGGAAAATAAAAGAGCTTAAAGTGTGTGAAATATAATGTACTCCAGGTTGTGACGGTGAGGTAGTTCGTTATAGTTTTCTTTTATTCGCTTTTAAATGGCTTGTAAATGCCTGTGCGCATTTTACTTTCACTTTCGAATTAGCGTCAATTCGGCATCAATTGATTAAACGGACAACAACAAAACAGTACAACAAACTCACATTAAACATAGAATGTTTAATTTATTAACAAAACGAATACAAATACACCATGCTATAGGCCTAATATAACAAAACAAATAACTTACACAAAGTTTAAATATAAAACACTGAAAATCAGCGAACACGGTGGAACCAAATAAATAAGAACCAAATGTTAAAAAAAGCATCCAAAATCAACTTAGATAAATGGCAAAGGTCAAAAGGCCTTCCAAAGTCTAACATATATTTAAGATCATACTTTATAATGTTAGTTTTAATAAATAAATAAATATAAAATATAAAATATATTTGTTAAAATTACAAAATAAACAGTAGGGCTGCACCAATACCACTTTTTCTAGTACTCGCCCGATACCGATGCTTTTATTTTTGCTACTTGCCGATACCGAGTACCGATACCAATATTTTTATTGCATTTGTAAATTTTTTAAATATTGGGTACAGAAACCAAAAGAGTATGTATAATGTTAGTTGGTTAACTTCATTTATCAAATAGATACAGTCAAGCCAAAATTTATTCAGACACCTATAACAATTCTCACATTATCACAGTTTATTCCCTATAGTTTAGAAAACGGTAATAAAATATAACAAGAACTCAGAGTTAAACTGTGTCAGAACAAATTCAGCTTGATAATGTTAGATAACTTTGATAGAAAGGTATGTAAAATTTGTATAAATTTTACTGGTAGTCCACTGTATGAAGAATTTTTGGGTATGATTTTCACAGTTTACTTTATTTTGCTATCCTGCGCGCGCTCTCTCTCTCTCCCTACCGTTAAGTAACTTGTGCATTGTTTTACTTACTTGTTTCTGACACATCCGACTGAACTACAAGCTTTCCGGTGATATCTGTGAGAAAGGTATATTCACTCGACAAGCTCGGGCATCTGTGCCGCTGCGCGCTCAATCCACTCAGCGTGATTTGTTTATCAGCTCGCGCACATCAGCTATACAGACGTTAATACTGAATGTTTAACATTATATTCATTGCAGTGGGTACGGAAAGTTTTCAGACCCCCTAAAATTTTTCACTCTTTGTTATATTGCAGCCATTTGCTAAAATCATTTAAGTAAATTTTTTTCCCTCATTAATGTACACACAGCACCCCATATTGACAGAAAAACACAGAATTGTTGACATTTTTGCAGATTTATTAAAAAAGAAAAACTGAAATATCACATGGTCCTAAGTATTCAGACCCTTTGCTGTGACACTCATATATTTAACTCAGGTGCTGTCCATTTCTTCTGATCATCCTTGAGATGGTTCCACACCTTCAAAGAGTGAAAAATTTAAGGGGGTCTGAATACTTTCCGTACACTGTATATATATATATATATATATATATATATATCCTTTTTTGTTTTTGTATGAAATACAATCAAGAAAAAAATATTTTAAGGCTAGGATTTGAGAGGCCTGAAGCAATTAAAATAAACTTTATAAAAATTATGGTAACACATTCTATGAAGCCCGTATTTATAATACATTATAAGGGTATTCTTAAGGCATTATAATGAATGAATAATGCATTATAAAAAAAACGTATATGTTGTATTGTCACATAAATAATCATAAGAACAGTTTTAATGTCATACTTCTAAGAGTATGATGATTTATAACACACTGAATATGTTGCATCCACTTAAGTTACAATGAATTATATTTCCCATAGTTATAATGTATTATAAGTCTCATATCTTGCCATTGTTTAAGATCTGCACAATAACTTAGTACATCTGTTGTGTTGACAGTGTTTTTACTGTCAAATGACAAATACAAAGTCTTCATGAAAACATCCAAAAGGCTTTATAATGTGGTCTTATTATTTATAAGTGGTATTTTTCTGCTTTAAGTAAAGTAACTTCACTTTACTTAAACCAGACAAAGACCACTTATAAATAATAATAATAATAATAATAATAATAATAATAATATTTTCCTCAAACAGCCATAAAATCAGATATCAAATCAAATGAATGTGTACACATTTGCTTTGAACTCATTTTATTGTAATATCAGTATGGTTGTTTTGATGGTACAATTTAGACAACTGTTAATAAGTAACTTTGCAACTACATGTCAACTAGCAGTCGTTGGAGTATTTGTAGTATGTCTGCTAATACTTTATTTTGATGGTTCCCCAACAGACATTCTACTGACTATAAGCAACTTTGCAAGTACGTCAACTTATTCTACCAACCCTAACCTTAACCTAAGTCTACTAATAGTCTAAATGAGAGTTAGTTGGCATGTAGATGCAAAGTTGCCTATAGTCAATAGACTAAGGGGACCATCAAAATAACATGTAATGTAATAAAAACATTGTTTTTTTTTTTGCAAAAATCATTGCATTTTTTTTTTCATTTGTATTACAACTGATCTTAAACTAGCTCACAGCTAAATTAACCTCACGGGAAACACTCATTCACTTCTAACCACTCACAAGATGTAGTAAGATACTGTGCAGATCTTAAATAAACAATGTCACGATATGAGATAATCCATTATACAAACCCGATTCCAAAAATTTGGGACACTGTACAAATTGTGAATAAAAACAGAATGCAATGATGTGGAAGATTAAAATGTCAATATTTTATTTAGAATGCAACATAGATGACATATCAAATGTTTAAACTGAGAAAATGTATCATTTTAAGGGAAAAATAAGTTGATTTTAAATTTCATGGCATCAACACATCTCAAAAAAGTTGGGACAAGGCCATGTTTACCACTGTGTGGCATCCCCTCTTCTTTTTATAACAGTCTGCAAACGTCTGGGGACTGAGGAGACAAGTTGCTCAAGTTTAGGAATAGGAATGTTGTCCCATTCTTGTCTAATACAGGCTTCTAGTTGCTCAACTGTCTTAGGTCTTCTTTATCGCATCTTCCTCTTTATGATGCGCCAAATGTTTTCTATGGGTGAAAGATATGGACTGCAGGCTGGCCATGTTATAACCACAAATGCGTAAGTATTACAATGTATTATAATTGTTGTTATGATTATTTATAAGATGCAACATATTATAAGATTTTTTTATAATGCATTATGCATTCATTAAAATGCCTTAAGAATACTGTATTATAAATACGGGATTCATAGAAAGTGTTACCCATATTATCCAAGGTAAATTTAGGTGTCTTTCCAAAAAGGAGACTTAGAGATTCCAAATGTACATCTGTTAACCAATGATACAAGTCCATATATTACAGAAATACAGTGCACGCCAAAGCACATATGGAACACATTAAAATTTTTCATTATTCACAGTGTTTGTATACAGTGCAATAGCAAAAACTGGAGGGGAAAAAAAAATTTTTTCATTTGTTTAGAGCCTTTTTATACAGGTAAGCTCAAGTCAAGGTGCGATGCCAAAGAGGACCATGTGGAGATGCCAAAATACCACTAAACCAGCCGCCCTGACTTGACTGCCTATAGCTACTGTAGGGATACATTCAGAATTATTAAACATAGCAAAATATGCATGAAAAACAGAAACATTCTAAATATATCAAAACTCAGTGAGAATTCAGTGTCTGATTCACATATGTAACGCCATTAACATATCACCATTAAATATTGTAGACTCCCCCAAAACACGCTTGTTTGGTCAGAATCCATTATAAAATACTCACCAGCCATGAATTTTGACAACTTCACAAATGTATTGAAATAATTTTAAACTACAAAATACACTAAGATGTTAGGAATCAGTGTGCTGAGAACGCACATGTGGTTTGTTTGTGCATAGCAGACTCACACATTCCTAATGTATGACTCCTATGTTTCACTGCATATTGTCTTAATTTTGATTACAATTCATCCATCAAAACTTCTTTCTCTCTGCCATCACTGATGTAATCAGCCGGATTTCCAAGTTTCTGTTTGGTGTAAACAACATGAAAGCATGGATCCATCCTGCCTTGTATCAATAGTTCAGGCTGCTGCTGGTGGTGTAATGGTCTGGAGGATATTTTCTTGGCATCCTTTGGGCCCCTTAGTACCAATTGAGTATCATTTAAATGCCACAGCCTACCTGAGTATTGTTGCTGATCATATCCATCCCTTTATGACCTCAGTTTACCCATTTTGTGATGGCTACTTGGTTGCCCACTGAAGCTAAGCAGGGCTGAGCCTGGTCAGTACCTGGATGGGAGACCTCCTGAGAAAACTAGGTTGCTGCTGGAAGAGGTGTTAGTGAGGCCAGCAAGGGGTGCTCACCCTGCAGTCTGTGTGGGTCCTAACGGCCCAGTATAGTGACGGGGACACTATACTGTAAAAAGCACCGTCCTTCAGATGAGACGTTAAATCGAGGTCCTGACTCTCTGTGGTCATTAAAAATCCCAGGATGTCCTTCGAAAAAGAGTAGGGGTATAACCCCAGCATCCTGGCCAAATTTGCCATTGGCCTCTGACCATCATGGCCTCCTAATCATCCCCATACACTGATTGGCTTCATCACTTTGTCTCCTCTTTACCAATAAGCTAGTGTGTGGTGGGCATTCTGGCGCACTATGGCTGCCGTCGCATCATCCAGGTGGATGCTGCACACTGGTGGTGGTTGAGGAGATTCCCCCGCTTTCATGTAAAGCGCTTTGAGTACCCAGAAAATCGCTATATAAATGTAACAAATTATTATTATTATTATTACTTCCAGCAGGATAATGCGCCATGTCACAAAACTCTAATAATCTCTTGAACATGACTATGGCTTCTTGAACATGACTATGAGTTCACTATACTCAAATGGCTCAAATGGGCTCCAAAGTCAATAGATCTCAAGCCAATAGAGCACTTTTGGGAAGTGATGGATCTGGAGATTCGCGTTATGGATGTACTGCATCATGCTATTATGTCAATTTGGACCAAAATGGATTGTTTCCAGCACCTTGCTGACTCTATGCCATGAAGAATTAAGGCAGTTCTGAAGACAAAAAGGGGGTTCAACCCGGTACTAGCATGGTGTACCTAATAGTGGCCAGTGAGGGTAGCCTGTAAGTTGTTTTTGTGGTGCTTGGCAGCACCTTAACCCCGTTGGTGAGTTTTTTCATTTTCTGTTTCATGGTAAGAAAAACAGAATGGTCCTAGTGAAGATGATGAAGTATAATGCATTGGAACAGTGACGATAATGAAGAGCCTATAATGAAGTCTCGCTCTAAATAATGGATAAAGACTGATTTCTTACTGAATCATTATTATAGTCATATACGTCTTTGTTCAGGGATGAATATTTATGTCCCACTTTCGCTTCCATGCTATAGTTGATTGAAAGACACTTCAGGTGGTATTACCCACTTTATTGCTGAGACCAAGGTGAATTGTTATAATTTCTTAAAATAATTCACAAAAACCAGTTTTTTATGGCTTGTGTATTTTAGTCTTCTGGTCCACAGTCATGCTGTTGTTTTGGAAGCCAAATTTGCAATGTGCGCTGCTTACTGCTCCTTTCTGTCCCTTTTCCACTCTCTAATCTGCACTAGCTTTACCTGGCTGTTTCTCCTCAACCTTGATTTTGTACTCTGCCCTCCATTGCCCTAAACATATTTGATCCATTCCCTTTGTCTTGTGGCACAAAACTGATTGAGGATGACTGGTTGTTTCCTGGCTGCTCCGATCCAGCATTAGCCAATCGGCAACAGGAAGTGGAGGAGGAGTTGGCCCAGGCCCGTGGACTCTGCCCACAGAAAAGCAGGAAGCCCAAATATTTCACCCCACGCAGCCTGCAGGTATGAACTAAAGACTCTATGTAAAATGCATACAGATGAGTGACAAATTAAAGGAAACATTTCTTAGTAAGGTGTTAGGTCACCATGTGCGTTTTGATAATGGTTGTCTAACATGCAAGTTCAGAAGCTCCTTTTAATTGGCTTATATATGGTGACTGTGAAGGCTATAGCATGTTTCACATAATTTTCATGCTCATCAAACTGTCTCCCCCCCATTTTACTTTAATTTGTCACCAAACTGTATTTAGTCCCTTTACCTTTTTTCCTGTGCTGCAAAGTTGAATTAAAAGAATAGTTTAGTCAGAAATCCTTTCTTTTTAATAGGACGTTTTCAGTCCATTTTGGTCAACATTACTCTAAAACTGCCCCATTGTCTAGTGGAGTTCCACAAGGATCCATTCTCGGCCCAGTCTTGTTTTCATTATATATGTTACCCTTAGGTTCTATATTTCATAAGCATGGAGTATCTTTTCATTGTTACGCAGATGCCACTCAGGTGTATCTACCTTTGCAGAAACAGGATAGCTCTTTTGAGTCACTTTTGAGTTGTTTACATGAATTTAAATCTTGGATGTCACAAAATTATCTGAATTTGAATGAAAGCAAAACTGAAATAATCTGGTTCGGGGCTCCTGACACCCAAAACTCTTTTGACTTGGGCAATTTAGCTCCCTTCTGTAAATCTGTGGTGAAGAACCTTGGTGTCCAATTTGATAGTTCTTTGAAATTTGATAAACAGATCAACTCCGTGGTCAAATCTTGTTTTTGTTTCTTCTGTTTTAGATCAATTGCAAAGGTTAAACCTTTTCTGTCCTCCAGTGATTTTGAAAGGATTATTCATGCTTTTATTTCTGTAAAACTGGATTACTGTAACTCACTAATATATTATTATTATTATTATATAGCATATTTTTTTAACTTTTTAAAATATATAATGTATGTTTATTTGCAACAGTTATGCTAACAACAATAAAAAGACATTTATGACATTAAAACAGCGACATCTGCTGACGGACACCAATGTTGCGTTGTCACGGGAACATCCCAGCTGAAGATAATGAGGAAATTACAATGCTCCATTTGCCAAGTGCATTCCAAACACTACATAATGGCACTCACGTGCCATGCTCACTCCAAAGTCCCCACTCCAAGGGGATAGGGATGATCACTTCCATTTGGAATTAACCCGTGAACCGTCCGGTACACGATTCGCATACCGTTACACCCCTAATATATATATTTTTTGGTCCTGATTTGCAGATTTGTGTTTTTTACCACTCATGTAGAAGTAATTATTTGTACTTTTTTGTATTTTTTTTGTTGAGAAATTATGTATTGTCATAATAATAATAATAATGCATGTTTTTTTCTGTTTCTTTCTACAGGAGGACTTGGAATATCATAATAGGCAAGACCCAATAGGCCCTACTGATTGCGATGTTCTTGTGAATGGAGAGAATATGGGTGGATGGTGGCCCCAGCACAGTGCTGCAGTTACAGGTGTGAAACCCACTAGACATTGTCCATGTTCTAAATGTTTTCTGTGTGCAGTTTTTGGTCTCATTATTTAGGTCACACTTTACCAGAAGTGTGTGAGTGTGATGATCTCCCATCTTTTTTTATCTATGTGCACCAACTAAGAATGGTTGTCCAAGTGGATCATATTAAGAAATGTGTAAATTGAGAAGGATTTGTCGTCTGACTTATCTGAAGGATTTTATGAGATTCTAGCCTACTTGAAAAGCCTCTTACTGTTCTGTATCAACAGAAAGAAGATACATAATACAATAATTGTAATAACAGATATACAAGAATTAGCTATAAATAGTACTGAAATACTAAGTCAGGATTAAAGTGGGTAATAGAATAAAGTGCATAGGATGAAAAATCCAAGTAACATTATCAATGTCTGATCCAAATTAGAAAATCATATTGATAATATATATTTACATGTATTCTTTTAGCAGATGCTTTTATCTAAATCGGTGGTTCTCAACCTTACTGACTCGAATGCCCAAAATTGTTTTTGATATTTCCGTTGGTATTTTTGCTGTAATTATAACAACTCTGCTTGTTATCAGACTTCTTTATTAACAGAAACAATTCACTGAGAAAGCAAGAACTCATAAAATGTGCAACCTTGAATGCAATGTAAGTCGATTTGGATAAAAGCATCTGCCAAATGCATGAATGTTAATGTTGGTGTGTTATGGCTATTGTGCTGTTCATAGTAAATTATCACCTGGAGGTCCATAGGAATCTTAGGCCACCCTGGCCTGAACCTTAAGGTAAGAGTTAAGATGGGTGATGGGCAGTTAGTTCATGAGAAACCAAATTTGGGCCAACGTTGAGAAGTCCTCTCCTTTCTATGTCTTCTGAAAGGTGTCTGTCTGTTGTCCTAGCAGCTTTATCTGATGGCACTGGGCATTTGTTTGTGTTATTTCTCCACAATCCAATCAAAACCTTTTTCCTCTGTTGCAGTCAGAAAGGTGGGACCACCATAAAACTGGCCCTGGAATGCCCTCAAATATGCTGTTCATTACACATTTAAGATTAACACAAAAAATACATTTTGATTGGAGAAAGAGGTGAGATTTCAAGGAAAATTGATAAATTGCATAAATTATGACATATGCCTTTTTTTTTTTTACTTGTTTAGATGGCTTGAGGTCTGTTGTTGAGGAGCTCGAATTAGAGAGAAACCAACTGCAGGAACAGATTTTGGTCCTTGAGAAACAGTGCCAAGATCTAGAGGACCGTCTGCAACTTCAGGCTCGCATTGAATTACTACAGGTACACAGAAACTGTTTGGACTGTATGTATAAAGGTGCTATAAATGTCAGCATCTGCAGTTACACTGCTTTCCAACAGACCCTTCGCTAAGCCTGCTCCCTCAGTTACTGCAGCTGTCAGTCACTAAATTATTGGATTGGATTGCTTCGGGAATCATTAAATAAAGTGGAAATGAATCAGGCCTAGTCACTTTATTCACCTTCCTATAATCTGTACAGAAGCAGTTTGTCTCATCCTTTTTTTCCCCCCTCAAAACAATCTATAATCCAACAAATGACTCAACATTTTATTTTAGACATTATACAGACATTTTTGAGCCACTAAAGCCTCTCCTATAACTAACCATAACAATTTCTGTAAAATACAAACAGTGAAAGAAAATTTTAAAAACCTAGGTGTGAATAATTTTCCTTAAAAGTACAGCTAAGAAGTAGTTCCAGATCTGTTGACTGTATATTAAAGTTCCATATCACTTGGCCATTTCAAACTACTGTATTTCAAACAGGGTGTCTGCGGGTCCTTAAAAAGTCTTAAAATGTCTTAACGTTTTCCTAATATAAGGCCTTAAAAAGTCTTAAAATTCGATGGGTCTTAAATATTTTTGGTCACATTACCGCTAAAATATCTTCAGTCTGACGGACCTAAATGACTGTTTACATCATTGGACAGACCGAAGATTTTTTCTCCCCTGCGGTAGTTACTGCATAATCAGAGAGAATCGCAGTAGCAGAATACAGGTCGAACTGCCTAACCAGACAAATAGCCTGATTAAAACATAAGTGACAAAAAATAACCAGCGAAGTATCGAAGAATGATTCTTCTAATTTTATTAGCCTACATTCAACGTAAACAGCAATTGATAATGGATAGTATATTTCTGGTATCAAGGTCGCGCTGTTAAGGCTCACTCTGTCTTTTTGTGAGAGACTTCAGAACAAACGAGCATGACAGCACACATAAAGTCAAATTAAACATTTTAAATTTGTACCTCAGTGTGTTTCTTCTATTCATAATATGATATAGTCAAGTAACACCATGGCAAGTGATCTATTTTGCTCAATATTCTCACGACGCAAAAAAACATCCAAAACACCTACAGAGTGCACGCATTACTTGAAGTCTTGTGCGTGTGCGCATTTACAATGTGCTCTTTTATGGCATGATTCAGTCTATTAAAATACATTCAGAATCACATATTCAAGACATGGGGGCAGAAAATGTGTATATTTATAACAGCACACATAAAGTCAAATTAAACATTTTAAATTTTTACCTCAGTGTGTTTCTTCTATTCATAATATGATATGGTCAAGTAACACCATGGCAAGTGATCTATTTTGCTCAATATTCTCATGACGCAAAAAACCATCCAAAACACCTACAGAGTGCACGCATTACTTGAAATCTTGTGCGTGTGCGCATTTACAATGCGCTCTTTTATGGCATGATTCAGTCTATTAAAATACATTCAGAATCACATATTCAAGACATGGGGGCAGAAAATGTGTATATTTATACCACTTCATATAGTTAATCAATTTTACATGAAGAGTGCCTTTTACTCCAAAAATTACCATATACAAATGTGAAATTGCTTTTTACAACAGTTCAATAAACTAGAAGTTTTATTAAGAGACTTACATTTTAGACAACATATTGCCTGTTTTTGCACTATTTCGCCAACAAAAATAATTCCAAACAAAGCCACAGTGCTGTTTTGCGTCTTTGAGCAACATGACAGCGTTTTGTTCCAGAATGAATCAACCATTTAAATGATTCGGTTCATTCGCAATGACTCGCTTATTAACAGTGTCTTACTGCCACCTACTGGCGGTTTTGATTTCACATTTAAAGTATCTTTTCATTTTTTAAATCATTTAAAATATCAATATTCAATGTTTTATGTTTAATATATCAAAACTTTATTTCTGCATTTGTAACTGCAGGTTAAATGCATTCATGTTCTGCATTAAACAGTGTGTAAATACGTCTAAATGCCACTTCAGATGCAGCTTATGTCTGGATTGCAAAGATGATTTTGTTTTTATACTGATTTCATTTGCTTATTATTCTAATTCACTGATTAAATGTAAGAATTTGACTCAAAAGATAATGCACACTTTTAGAAAAAATGGCATTATATAGGTAAAAATGCCCATAAAAGGTAAAAATCAGTTTAAACTTATTGGAAAAGATTCATTTCTATCTGACCACCACACAGAATATGAAGAATATCAAAAACTTTAGGAGTCAGCTGTCCACGAAAGTCCAGCATGAGAACACACTCGATCAGTTGAATGAATGACTCAATACTCACTCATTAAGTGACTTACCGCCACTTACTGGTAGTTTAGTTGTGAAGTTTGTTGAAAAGTATGCATTTGTATATACATAAATGCATTTAAAACATTAATCTCATAACATTATTTATTGCAGTTGTAATTATTGTTATTTGCAGTGTAAATTATTTAATCTGACTGGTAGCAGCCCTATAGTGTATATTGAATTTATTGATAAATTGTAATAATTTGACATGAAAGATGATGCATACATCTAAAAAGTTTCAAAATAGGCCTTTGTACAGGTAAATAAAAATATGCAGATTTAAGTATGTAAAAGATGATAGAACACTGATGAAAATATTGCTTCAGAATAAATTGTTTACTCCACCGAAAATCTCAGTGATGCAGTTATTTTGCAGGGATATTTTGTATGGAATATTGTCTGCTGATGTGAAAAGTTCACTGTATATCGTAGTAATAAATATCATTTACAGCAATGATATTTTGTTTTCTTTTTTATTTAAACAAATTAAAAATTACATATATGTATGCAATAAAATGTGTATTTCCATTACCGGTTTAGGTCTTAAATTTCATATAAGGTGGTATTAAAAAGGTCTTAAAAAGTCTTCCATTTAACTTGTTCATGTCTGTAGACACCCTGTTCAAAGGCCCTTCAAAGATACTGACCAACCAAACAAATACAACCATTTCCATAATTTCCCTGCTAAAAACTGCATATCTATGGCTCAAGCCTCTTGTTACTAGATCTAAAAAGTTTTTTGAATGGGCAATGAAGGCTTGGGATAGGATGCATAAGAAAGTAGTTGTACTATCAAGAACAGTTTAAGGACAAACACTGGACAAATGTATTGGGGGGGAAAAAAAGGTAAACATAGACTTACAAAATCATACAAGATAATAGATTGACAGCAAGAGTCGCAAGAGTATGATTTGTCACTAATATTTCCAATGTGCTTGGGCTTATCGAAAGGTCAGTTTCGGCTGTTTCAAAAATGCATGAATGATGCAAGTCCATTTTTCTTTAATTGTTGGGGGGAAAACAGTTTTTGACACTTTGAATCTTGTTGAATCTCGCTATGAGTGTTGGATAGCCAGTTAATTACCTGTATATTGAGTGAACTATATGCAACACTCCTCTAACGCAGGCGACGTTTGGTATAGATGAAGGTGGTCGAGCATTGTCCGCATCTCAGGTTTGTGTGTGTTTGTGTAAGCTTCCAAAAGCACGACTGAGCGTGGAAACTTCTCTTTGTACTGTACTTATCACTGTTTGTTGGGGCTGTGCAATATTGAAGAAAAATGCGATATGCGATAACTCATTAAATAATGCGATATTCGATATGCGATACGATAATGCTTAAAGTGCCACATGCTCAGATTAAACAGTTTTACTCCGCTGTTGCCGAGTCAGTTCTGTGAACTTCTATAACTATCTTGTCATATATATAAATATGGTTATTTGTATGTATGTATGTACCAAGAGTTCCTGTAAAACCACAACAAATTCCTGTGGCACACAAATTCAACAAGTGGCACACTTAAGTGGTGAATAAAGCTCATTCTGATTCTGATTCTAATAAGAAAGCACACCTACAACAACTTCTGAAAGTGAACGGTAGTGTTTTACTTGAGCGTTACATAAAAATGGCATTTTAACATTAGTGTAATCATTTTAACATGAATTTAGGAACTGAATAATAAAAAGGAAAAATAAAACACTGCTTAGAATTTACTCTTTGAATTCAATATGCACTGATTCTTATTTAAGCTACAAAAGTTATTTAGGTAAGAGCAGTGAGTGATTTTCTCTTTGTCTTTTGTTCATGTCTCCAAATATTGCAAGCTGTAGCGATATGCAATATGCATATTGCGATATTTCGATAATTGCGATATATTGCACAGCCCTACTGTTCGTACTGTTGTAACACTGTCCTCTTCACACTACAAATAAGAGTGCAGTTCACACAGGGTGTGTCAACAATGGTTTTTAACAGTTTGAGTTAAGCTAGGGCTGCATAAGTAATCAAAAAATATAATTGTGATTATGGGGATATGGCTGCCAGGACTGTGTAATTGTAAAAAGTAACCATTATTGCGAGGGATGCACATAAGTGATATATTTATATAGAAGAAAAAGAAAATGTAAATATTAGCATTGCATTTTTAAGTGGACTATAGAATAATTGTACTTTAATTTATTACTCACATTTTATTGTTTTTGTTTATTATTTTATAATAAAAAAAATGCTATAATGCAATAATACTATTATTAATTATTAAATTTTTTTATAGTCATATTTAATTATGTGTCACACTATTCGCAGGGTGAGCGGCAAAACCAAATCTCCAGGTGCTCTCATGAGAACCAGATTGAGAATCTTATGTGACCCATGGAGAATCTGACATGTGCCTATTAGAAAGCAGCCTTTGGCCACCAGCTTGGCAAAAGTTTCAGGACTTACGTAGACACTTGTTTGGCAAGCGTCCCACACACAGGATGTACCTGTTAGTCTATAAATATGTATTCACACACCAAATAACATGACTTCCAGGCGTATAATACACCAAAATCATTTTATTTCATGATTATTTTACATTTTATTTCATAATTATTTCATTATAATTAACTCAGGTTAAACATGTTAAAGTATGCCTCGTTTCTGGATAACTTGACAGGGGCAGTGTCCCCTATTGACCAGCATCCTATTGACTGATTTGTAGCAGTGTTGTTTTACAAAGTAATAATAATAATGATGATGTTTAATAATAATAATAATAAAAAACAGGTGTCTCTAAGGGTTTCTGAATTCTACATACAGCCCCTTTAAGTTGACCGAAACAGGATCTGATTCCTTTTTTCAGGGACAGGGTCAGTGTGAACGTAAAAAGAACTGGGCTCTTTTTCATTTGGTTCACCTCTTGGACCACATCACGGGTTCTACGTTTGGTTCTTTTAAAGAGGACTCAAGTGTGAAAACACCCTTAATGTACTGATGCATAAAACAACAACAAAAAATAGTTTCCAGCTTGTTTTGGATGTGGATTAATTGGTATTCTTTATTGCAATTACAGTATTTGAGGGCAATAATCAGCCATTCTGATTTTTGCCATCATCATGCAGCCCTAGTTTAAGCCCAGATTTATCTATGACGTCATGACACGCAGTTGGGCTGTGTGGTGGGTTTTTTCTATTTTGCTTGAATTGTTGTTATGATCTGCCATCTTCCTATCCATCAGAATGAATCGGAGCGCCTGCAGGCACAGGTTGCCAGCCTTCGCAGTCAGCAGATTAGAGACACAGAAAAGAATCAGGTGCTCGTTGCCAGCCTGAACAAACAACTCAAAGGGTAATTATTCAAAATTAGGTCCGGGGGCCTAATTGCAGAAACATTCCAACTCAGATTCTTGTCTGTTTTGTGGCCATGGTAATCTCATTTATACACAAATGCTGTGTTCAATAGCCAGAAAAATTATTTTTTAACATATGTTGACTCAGACTGAGCAGCACACAGGAGTGTCTGGAGTCCTCACTCATGGAAAAGGAGCACACACTTGCCAGAACCTCAGAGAAACTGGAATTTATTGACAGTCTGAGAGAGGCTTTAGAGACAAAAGAAAAACAAAACCAAGAAACAACTGAAAAACTGCTTCAAACTGAACACAATGTGGGTAAATATGAGATGTATTGTAATATTGAGTATATATTTAACAAGACGACACATTTAGATGATTGGGCATGTTAACATATCAGCTGTCTGTCACATATTTCAAGTGGACAATAAATGTATGCATGTCCTGTGTGTGTTTGTGTGTGTGTATTATATATATATATATATAGAGAGAGAGAGAGAGAGAGAGAGAGAGCTTTTTGCATTCAGTATCCCTTTTAGTATTTTTAAACTCAGTTTAGTCCAGACCCAAGCATCAAGAACAGTGTCACACATTGAAGACAATATGACATACAGTATATGTGAGTTATTAAATCACATCTGAGTAATTGAGACTACCTTGCTGTGCAGCTGGCTGAAGTTACAAAGACATGCAGCAACTTTGAGAAGGAAAACTCTGAGATGAAAGCAACTGTTGCAGAACTGACACTCAAACTCAGTGTGCTGAAAGACAAGGTAACATCTTAGACATGATTGTTCACTGGCTTCCATGTCGCATTTTTTTCCTTTCCGATTTGTGTAAGTTTGACAATTACATTTTGATAAAAATATATGATTTATGTATGTATGCATGTACGTATTTAACATTTAACATTATCATTCCATTCCATTTTCGTTTCAGATCCAAAAACAAGAGGCAACTATAGAATCATTACAGAACGATCTGGTTCAAACAAACGATGATCTCGACAGACTGAACGCAGCTCATCTGGAAGAAAGAGCACAGCTGGTTCATGACTTGCAGAGCTGTGAGCGTGAAATTGATAGACTTCAAGATGTCATCATTGATAAGGACAAAGACATATTGGCACTAACATCCAGCACGGCAGAATACTCAGAGCAAATTCATGAACTAAAACGGGAAATGAAGTTCAAAGAGGATGTGCTGGCTAAAATTGAACAGGATGTTCAAATCTTTAGAGACCCACAGCTTTCTGACCAACAGTTCTTTAATGTGTTAATACCTCAGCTGATTGAACAATTGAAGAGGAATGAAACTGATCTAAAAGTAGCGAGAAAAGATGGTGAGTCAAATAGTAATGAAATTAAAGACTTAATAAAGCAAACAGATGAGGATAAGAAAACAATTCAGGATCTCCGCATGGAAATACAGAAGCTGAATATGAATCTCAAAGACCAGGTATTGGATAGAGAACAAGTGCACGAAAAAGACTCTTTCCAGGAGGAACATACGTTGCTTGCTGAAGTCAGCAAATATAAAAGTGAGCTTCTGATGTTCTCTAGAAAGCTTGAGGAGCAGGTTGAATGTCAAGAACAGCTTAAGCAAGATGTACAAGACAAGTCAAAGATAATATCTTCATTGGAGGAGAAGCTGAAGATCGTTCAAGAGGAGACAGTAGCAGAGAGAGAGAGATTTAACAAAGAACTCAAGATTCGAGATGAAGCCAAAGAAAACCTTGAGAAACATTTGTCTGATAAAATTGAGAGTATTCATTTGGTAAACTTTAACAACCAGAAACTTCAGGAATCATTTGAGCAGACTTTGGGAGAGCTTGCAAGACAAAAGCAGCACCTGGATAATGCTAAGGAGCAAATGCAAGCTGTGCAAGATCAGAATTGCAACTTGCTTTTACAAGTCGAAAGTCTCACTAATGACAATTGCCAATTGAAGAGGGATATTGAGGCTAGTGTCCAGTCCCTCTCTGATGTTTCAGAAGAAAATAAAAGATTGGCAAGCACAATATCTGAAGTTGAACAGAAGCTTTCAGAAAGTGTTAAAACAATAGAACACTTGCAAAGAGATAAGGACGAGCTAACACTCCAAGGAAATGAATTGAACAAAGAACTCGAGCAAAACAAACAGTCAATGGATACGATTTTTTTTGAAAAAGACGGCATTGTTAGACTCCATGAGACATTGAGTAGGCAAAATCAACAATTACAAGAAATGTTTGAAGAGAAACAAAAAGAAGTGCTTAAACTGGCCCAAGTTGTGTCTGAAATGAATAACAAGTTTGCAATAACGCTTGAAGAAAATGAAAAACTTGCTTCTAAACTTGCTAGTCTTGATGAACAGAATAAGTACCTTCAGAAACAAACCAATGAACAGATGAAGTTACTCACAGAAACGACCAAGGAGAGGGAGAATCTACAAAACAAAATCTTGATTTTTGAAACACGAGATGCGGAAAACCGTAAAATCATAGAAGGCTTGCTTAAGCAAAAGGAAGATTTGCTTTTGCAAGTAGAGGAACACAAAAATATCGAAAAGAAACTGCAGTCTGGAGCTGAGACCTTACAGGAAAAGTCTTTAGAATGTGCAGCCCTCTCAAAATGTCTCAGGGAGACCAAAGAGGAAGTAGATCATCTTAGGAGAGAACTTGGATCCACCACTTCTCAAGTCCTTCAATACAAACAGATTGTTTTTGAAAAAGAAATGCTCTTAACAGACCAAACTACACAAATGGAAACTTATCTGCACCAACTCAAGCAATTACAACATAGTATTTCCATTCTTCAAGAACAAGTTAATAATCATAAATCAGGTCTGACAGAGAAAGACACACTGCTGCAGAAAGAATCAAATTCATGTCGTTTGCTACAAAAGGAACTTAGTCATGAAAGAGAACTTGTTTTTACCCTTCAACAAGAGATAAACTATCTGAAAATGGAGTGGTCCAGACTGAACCAGACTTTGGAAGTGAAAGAAAGCACTTTAAGGGAGAAAAATCTTAAATGCCACGGTCACTCAGAGGAATTGTGCAAAAGAAATGAGTCGGTTCTTTCACTAACTAGTCAGCTTGGTGTTATGAATGAAAATATTGCGGGGCTTGAATCTGATCATGCACATTTAAAAGGCCTTTTAGAGGAGCATTTAACAGAAAATGTAAGACTAAATGACGAGTTGAGACAGAAACAAATAGAGGTTGTGGAATATCAAGATAATATCCAGGCAATGAATGACCACAACATTATAATTAAATCTGAACTGAAGAATTCAATGGCAGAAATGTTTAGACAACAAGAGATGATCATGTCCCTACAAAATGAATTGGAAAGTAAAAGAGTCGAACTGGCATCTTTGGCAGAACAGTTAGAATCCAAACGCTCTCAACTTGAAGCTTTACAATTCACTCTGCAGGGGAAAGAGGACGTTTTTAGGACACAGGAGATGTCTGTAAATAAAATGCAAGTCAAACTGTTGGAAAGTGAGGGCCAAATCACCCAGAAAATAACAGGGATCTCTGAGCTACATGAAGAAGTTCAGAATTTGCAGACAGCTCTGCAAGAAAAAGATAGGTTGCTGTTTAACAAAGATAAAGAGTTTTCTCTGGTTAAGAAGACATTAATGGCACAATCAGAATCATGTGAAGCCAGACTGAAATTAGAAATGGGCGAAATTGCTCAAATTCAAAGAGAGTTAAAGAGCCTACAAGAAAAGAATAACCATCTCGTCAGAATTATTAATGAAAATGATTCTTTATTGAGGCAGGAGAAGGAAAAGTGTCTGCACTTGCAAGGTAGTGCATCTGAACTGGAAAACACAGTTTCACTGCTGACCTGTCAAATAGAGCAATTAACCTCAGAGATCACACAACTCAGGGAAACACAAACTGAGAAGGAACAAGTCACTTTTGCTGCTCAGTCGCAAATTCAGAAACTGGATGAACTGTACAAGAAACTTCAAGAGGAATTCGATTTGACCAAACAAGAGCTGCTTAAAGTTATCAGTGAAAAATCATTAAAGGAAGAAGAAATCTGTAAATTGGTCCTGGAAAAAGAAGAGGTCTGCAGAAATTCCAATTATCAGATTCAGAGAATTCAGCACCAGCTACAACACCACAAGTGGGAATCCAGCAAAGTGGAAGAAGACAAGACGATGGAGAGAGAGAAACACCATATCCTGGTTAGTGCTAAATGTGAAACAATTATTGAATTGAAATAAGAAATTCAAGAATAAGAAAAAGAATTTCAACTCATCTAGAGTTTGAACATGTTTAATGTCCTGTTCAAATGCAAGGTCGGAATATTCTTTCTTGGCAACATCTAGATAATAATCTTGTGTTGATGTTTAGACTTTGATGCAGGTTTCCAGTATTTTGAGTTGTCTAACTCTAAAAGAAAAATAACTAGATGCTGTAAAAAAGCAGATATTTACTAGAAAGGCTATTGGGCAAGTGTTCAGGTTTGAGAAAGGAAATTCTAATGACAGTAAAGGAGATTTGGATAAAAGGGGGTGTGTGCTACTATATGTAACCTGATGAAAATGGTATACGAGGATGTTAACTGTGACATAATGATGCACTTAACTGTGCGACAAAGTGATCCATTAAAATGCAATTATGATGTGGTTATTATATCCCAAAACTTGCCTATTATTCTGCTACACACTCAAAAGTATGTAAATTTTTCTTCACAAAAAGAGTACACGTTTTTAGGGCATAGTTTGAGTAGGTGAATGATGATGCAGCAACATTAAAATTTTTCAGGGAGATTTTGGCTATTTTGGTCCCAGCACTTGTTTCACATTGTTTTACATAAAACTCAGAAAAATTTGTTGCTTTTTTCTGTGTATCTTCAGGAGTCCATGGCTTTGCAAGGTAAAGATGTGTCTCAAGAACACTGGGTCCAGTTGCATAGCCATCTGCAGCACTGCCAGCGAGAGGTCCAGCAAAAGGAGTTTAGCCTCCAACAACTCAACATCAAGGTATGCATCCAAATGTTCCATCTGGAAAACAAAATAAAGTGTTATATTTACTGCCATGAATTATTTTCTTTTATATCTGTGCATGTTTTATTATCCTTGTATATGTACTAGTTGCAACAGGCAATTGAGGAAAAGGAAGGTGTGTCCTCCCAGTTAAGCACCATTTCCAAGATGCTCAGAGACTCACAGCAGACTGTTAGTGAGCTCCAGAATCGCTGCAATTGGCTGGAGAGACAATTTCAAAACCAGTATTCACCCACACAGGTGAGTTTATCTTTCTATAAAGGTGGATTGGAAATACTGTAACAACTGCTACAAAGAAAAATGTTTTAAGGTTTGTTTAAATAATTTTTCCATATATATACAGTATATATGTATGTGTGTGTGTGTGTGTGTGTGTGTGTGTGTATATATATATATATATATATATATATATATATATATATATATATATATATATATATATATATATATATTAG